TTCGAAGCCTTTCAAGGACAAAAGTTGGTTTTGTTGTGCATTTTTCTTACAAAAAGATTGTTTTCAAACATTTAATTAATTTTTGAAAATTTTCAAATGCTCCTTGGTGGCACGAGCTTAAACTGTCAAATAATATCAAATGAAAAAAATTTAATTAAAAAAAAATTCAAAAAGAAATTCTCCTTGGTGGAACAAACCTAAACTGCCAACAAAAATCTAGTTCAGAAAACATCTAGCCCCGTATCACGTAAAAGGTCGAGTGATCCGTCTAATCCCATATGATGTTAAAGGTCTGATGTATTCAGAAAACATCTAGCCCGCTATAACGTAAAAGGTCGGGTGTATCCATCTAACCCTGTATGACGTTAAGGTCGGGTATATTCAAAAACTTTTCTAGCCCCATATGACATAAAAGGTCGAGTGTATCCGTCTAACCCCGTACAACATAAAAGATTGGGTGTATCCTTCTAGCCCCATATGACGTAAAGGGTCAGGTGTATATGTCAATCGCTGCATGACGTTAAACTTCTTAGAGGGCTTTATGGTTGCAGGAGCTAAAACTGCTAAATAAAAATTTGTTTTTAAAAATATGTTTCTCTTTTGGAAATGATTCACTATATGTCTTATGTTTTCAAAAATATTAATTTTTTTGTTAAAATCGTAACCTGTCCAAGTCTCTTAGTTCTATTTCAAAACTCTCCCTATTTTCAAAATTTCCAAAACGTCTTTGAAAACAAAGGAGCTTGGACACCCATATATGATGATTATCGTATTGCCGCCTCATCTCTCTCTTCAAAATTGACTAGGCAAACATTTTCCTAAACAAGTAAAACCTATATATGACCTTAGGAAACCCTAAGGAAATCAAAAAAAATGTCAAGTTCAAGAATTTAAAATTGAAAACCTCTTAAATTAAGTGACATGGCCAAAAAATCCAACTCGAGTTCCAAGCTTGGATAAATCACCGAAAACCCTAGGATGAACATGCCCTAGGGGGGTGAGCGGGGAGTGCATTGTCTTGGAGGAAATATTTGTGGGCCCTCTGATCACGTGACATCAGATAAATTAAAATGTCAATAGTGTCTACTTCTTTGACACTCACCTGTCCCTCGAAGGATAGGAAGTGTCAAAGAGGGGCAACTGTAGACACCCCATTTTGATAACTAATACACTCAATGGTTTTCTAAACCATAGACAGCTTTAGGATGACATTATCCTAGTAAAGCCCCAGACCATAGACCACCATAGTCCATACTGCCTGCCCTGTGATACTGAATCCTGCAGACCACCCTGCTTTAGTAAAAATCATTAAAAATAGCAAAACATCTCATTTTAATCCAAATTTTGGCAAGCAGCATCACAATAGCCTGTAGACCCCCCCAAAACTAGAATCTACCGATTTTGGGCAGATTTACTATATGAGACACCACCAGTGTCGTCCAGCCCAGACTGACCCAAATCAGCTGATTTTTTGCAGGCAGTATCCCGATAGCCCCAAAATCTGCCCAAACAAGAATCTGCCAATTCCAAGTAGATTTGATTTAGGCAACATCACTGGTGTCGCCCAGCCTAGACTGACCCAAATCGACTGATTTTTGGCAGGCAACATCCCAAAAATCAGCTCTGACTAGAATCTGTCAATTTTGAGCAGATTTGGTCTATGTGACACCACTGGTGTCGCCCAACTTCGACTACCCCAAATTGGAATTTTCTGCATGCCAACCCCTCCCGAATCATTTTTGGCTAGGTTCATTGAACTTGGACCATTTTGGTATAGGCGACACTACCAGTGTCGCCCAAGCCTTTGACTACCAAAACGATAGTTCAGGCTGGAAAATCTTCTGGTTATGGTTTGTTACCGATTCCAGATAACTTTCAGCTTATAAAAATGTCATTTCGGGATCATTTTAAGTTAGACTCTTTAGATCTTATTAGCTTGTATGCCCAGAGAAAACTTTGAGATTGTGAGACCTGAGAAAAACCTAGACCTAGGAAAGTCTGAGGTTTAGGCCACCTGCAGCCCTTAGATTAAGAGATCCATCCAACTAAGCCAAGGCTGGTCAAAACATAAAGAGAAACAAAGAGGACGCAGGACATAAACAGCCAGTCCTGATACGGGCGAGGCCTCGAAACCTCGAAAGCCCCAAGCCAACTGATCCGGTCTGGTACATTTTTACTCTTTCTTGTGTTTTAGTTCCTTTTTTTTTATTATCAAACAGCCACCTAGAGTAACATAAGCATTTGTGAACAATTTATCATTGTGGCCACCTTTAACTACTGTGATGAAGTTTTAAATTCTCATCCACTATATTATGTAGGGGTGGCAATGGACCCGGACTCGACCTGAGACCTGCCGGGTATACCTGACAAGGGTCTGGGTATGGGTCCAACATTTGGACCCGCCAAGTCGGGTCTGGGTCCAAAACCTAGACACGAGAACTATTCGGGTCCGGGTTTGGTTTGGTCTTGGTGTATTAAATATCGCATACAATAAAAACTCGTAGTCATATTTTACTATTGAACGACAAATCAGACAACTTGGCGGGTGATTGTAACCTTGTTGCCAGTAATATAAGTATATGATGGTAAGAAAAGGGCAAAAAGAAAACAAAATAGAAGCTCAAAGTGAGGATGGCAATGGATCCAACCAGACAATGGACTGACAGGATAGACCTAAGACCCAACGGGCATAGGTATGGATCTAACTTTTGGACCTGACGGGTCGGATCTGGATCCAAAACCTGGACCCGAATACTATTCGAATCTAGGTCCTGGTCCAGTCGGACCCGACCTGTACCTAAGCCGTTGCCACCCCTAATACTATGGGTATCATACGACCCATCTATTTGCAATGAAAACCTCTGTATCACGCGGGTATATAGCAAACCCCAGTGAAAACTTCCAGGTGTTACAAAACACCCCCAAAGGTATCATATGACCCATCTAACAACTCGTTTGCATCCATCTTTAAGAAGAATGTTTTATGCCTTGGGGGACAGAAGTTTAGGACTGCTCCCCTAATGCATACAACTATTTTCCACCATTAATTATCCATGAATATGCGTACCATATTACACCTACATCATTATAGGAGTTCTAAATTCATTTTTCCATGAAAAAATTGGATTTCAAGGGAAAAAATATAGCTCTCAAGGTGTTTGATGTGGGAAAGGATATTATATTAACACCAACCATGAATGAGCAACTCATATATAGAATGGACTAAATTTCTAAATTTTTCAAATTAGGTGTTACAATTTCTTCATAACGCACTGAAGGTGTCACGTTTTACTTGATTTATGAATAGAATTTAAGCTTGGAAAAGCTTTATGTAAAATTGTAATCATACTTGCACAAATCTGTAATAATTTTATTTGGATAGTGTAGATATGATACTATTTTATGAGACATGCCATTTTTGTATAATATTGTAAAAGATGTGTGTCATCTACACTATCCAACGTATTTAATTCTACAAGTAAGATTGCCAGCCCATATAAATCACACCTTTTAAGTTTTTACTCTCCTTACAAATTAGGAAACTCCCACTGCGCACTAGACCTATTATACGAGGTCCCCATGCATATTTTTATCTTTCCTCACATTGTTGGTATCTCTCTTTGGTAATTTTTCTTTATTTTAATTTATCTAAGTTTTATTTTAAGGAAAAATATCAATTAAAGGATCAAATCACTTCATAACATCATTAAGGCACAAATCATTAAGCATCAAAATAATACAAATTAACATTAATAGTGTTGTTTTTTTAATCTCATTGACTTAAGTACGTCCTTGAAATATATAATAAAAACATGACCAAACTGCCTAAGTTTAAGATGGATAACCCTAAATAAGCAATATTAAATAATTTATCCCCACTTAACAAGGCGACTGGCATAAATTCCCCATTGTTATTCAGGGTTAGCAATATGGAACAAGGTTTCACAATTAAAAAAGTGAGTCCCACATTGCTGACACGGAACAAGCTGGGGTACTTGCATCATTTGGCAATTCTGTGTTGTTAACCCTGAACGACCCCAAGTTCTATTCACTTCGGCAATTTAAGTAGGGCTAAATGATTAAAATACCCTTGTTTCGAGTTCCCAGATGATGAATGATATCATGGCATTGATTTTTACTAATGGATAAGAAGGCTATAAATAAGAAGGCCATAAACCATTGTGTAAGCATTAAGAAATCAGTAGAATATAGAAACTGCATAGCATCTCTGCTGGACGACGACAAAAGGGTCGTTCTCAGAACTGTAGTTTTTAAGTTACCTTACTCGTCGGATTATGTAAAGTACAAGAGAGACAACATTGAAAGCTACCTCTTTTTAAAGAAAGATACTTCCCTTTCCCACTGATGTAACCTCAACTTAGTGGCCAATGCTGTCACTGAAAGAATGGTGGAATTGTCAATTCAGGTTGGTAGCGTTAAGAAGATTGCATTATTGATTTGCCATTAGCCCTTGGTGCATGGCAGATTATAATGGATGATGGAAAGCATCCAGTAGGAAGATGTTAAGAAAAATAATAAAAAGGGAATGTATATTAGGAGACTATTTATTTTTATACACGAAGATTACAATTATTTCTAACTATTAGATTTTAAATATGGATACTAAGAATGAGTCAAATTTCAAAAAAAAAAATTATTAAGCATTGTGCAATATCAATGATACGTTCCTAGCCAACTGATTTCACATTTGATAACTAAAAATGAATGTGACTTCCATATGTCAAAAGTAAAGATTTCACATTTGATGACTAAAAGTGAATGTGACTTCTATGTGTCAAAAGTAAGAAGCCTCATCTTATACTTTTTCAGCAGAGAATGTTATTTGTGAAGCCTCTCTGGTAGTCAGCAGTTATTTGGGGATCCTCATTACGGCTTCATTACTAATGGTTAAGATTCAAACTCAGCTTAGACAAATGGTTTGATTTTGATTCTATATTTTATACAGCTAGCTAGACACTTAAAGGGGCAAACAAAGCATAGTCAACAAAAATACCAGGAAGAATGGTACTATTTAAAAAATCAGCAAACAGAGGAGGTAAGCAGGAGAGATCAAGTGCTAGTTCTAACAAAATAACGAAAAAGATGGATGCTTGAGCCACCATTTACACCTACTTAATCAAGCAAGAAAGCAAGCATGCCCATTCCTCTTAGGCTTCCTGATGCCAAAACCCACTAATGTTTTGGGTCATTTACATTTTAGTGCTTTCTAATGACAGCATTCAATAGGTTTTCAATTCCTTGCTTGAACATTTCTTTCCTAAAATGCACAATTTCAATTTATAAGGAACTCAACCCTGAAGTCGTATGCATCGCCGAGAACCTCAATAGCCGATGATGGCAGAAGCTAGATATCCCAAGAAAGCCAAACCTCTTGCCCTGGGATCATAAGGGGTATAGCCTTTCAACATTCAAAGTTCACATACAAAGTCCCCACTACTCTCAATATAGTCATCGGCATCATCAGCATCCATGTCATCAAGGTCCATGCTACCAATAGTGGATAAGCCACCAATGACCTTAGGACCTTCGCCGGGCGTTTTTGCTTCTTCGATAATCATCATTATCTCTTCGACGCTTTGAGGAGAGTTAGGCTCATCCATTTGATGATTTAGTTCAGCTCCTTCCATCAACTCTATTGGCAAGTTTTTAAGGAACCAAGGATGGTTTTTTATCTCAGGAATAGTGATCCTCTAGAACAAACCACAAGCCAAGTAATGGAGAAAGATCCGTCAAATTGAAATCCTTATGAAAGGCACTATCATGGGAACACCATAAATCCTTAGGATCATCAGTATCAATTGAAATGATGGATGACAATGTTGACAGAAAGGGAACCACCACTTGGGCCATGCCACTTTCGTACAGGTCCCATTATCTCTACATCACCATTCATTGAACCTAAGGACTATGTTGGCTATGGTCCAAACTCCAAACACCATAGAGAAATAATAAACATAAACAAGATCCAATTTTCATGCTACCTTTTCAGGGTTCGCGATAAATATCCGGGACAAGAGATGTCTGCACTCTATTGATACACGAACATAGTCAGGAATGCTATAGTGGACACTCAATATTCTCTGCAACACAGGATATAAAGGAATAATATTAGTAAACTAAATGGTATGACAAAAAATAATAACATCACTACAATTCAAGAAAACGTTGTTAGGTTCATAAACATTGTAGTCCACCCACCCCAATTGTCTTCCGGAAGTTTCTAGGGTCCTCTGGATCTTCAAATGGATACGTACCAACAAGCATTACATACAAAGTTACTCCAGAAGACCAAACATCCGCAATCTGCAGAGTCCAAGAATTAAACAAGAATAAGGGGGCATAAACGCGATTGGTGTTGTAATTGTAAACAGAAGATTGGGAATTCTACTACATGTTGCAGATGATGGATGGTGCAGATCAACTTTAGTGGGGGTCCACAGGACTTTCACCCACGTACATCCGAGCTCCACCATCTGTCATTAGGAACGGACAACAAATTGCGCCCTTTGGAATAACAACACACATACTCCGTAGGGCTATGGAGTATTTTTCTATCTTTGTTACCTTGCCATCATATTCTCTTCTTGCTAAAACCTCTGGAGCAATGTAAGCTGGTGTACCCACTGTCGATTTAGGTTGAGAATGCAAAACAGAAGACTGACAATGCAGAATGAAGGATCAATAAATGCAACTTTCTTTAAGCGGTATTGATTCTTGAAGAATTAATGTTTGGTCTCATTTTCTTCTTTCCTTCTGTGATTGAAACAACATGATTGTAACATACGATTACATTAGGAGTAATGATCTTATGAGACCCTCATACATACGGGCTACATAAGACCCCACTTTAGTGCCGTCAAATCTGATACCAGATCTCAAGAAGAAATGGGGATACCAGCTCACTGATAAAGGCGGTCAAATCTCTATCGCCCACTCTATTATCCTTGAACCAGCACTGCAACTTTCGTCTCTTGAACCAGCACAGTAACTTAGCCAAACGAACCCAAGTCCATCACTCTCACTCTCTCTCCCCTCTAAGAAACTATATTCACCCCCCATGACTCTCTCTATGAAAAGGGTCTTCTGTATCCAATACCTCTCTTCTAGACTGGTCTTCTACACTTTTATTACACTCTCATAGAAACCACTGATCTTTCACTCCTGGAGTGGTTTTTGCTCTTTTATTAAACCTTTTCTCTCTCACATATCCTTTCTCTTTCCATAACCCAAAAACCCTCCTGCTCCCAATTGTGCCTGCCCATATTTACACATTGAATCTTCTCTCTCTAGAATTTATCCTCGTCTTGCTACAATATGAGCTCGCTGAAATCTACATGGGGAATCCTCCCCCCTCTCGCCCTCCACACGTTCTTGCAAAAGCCATGAAATCTCTATCTCTGATCTCTTTCTCTCTCGTCTTACATGGAGAATAAGAAGTCAAGCTTGTTGGGTCATCAGAATTTTTCCTGGAAAGTCAAGAATTCAGGCTTGAAGCCCCGTTTCGCCCAATGTAAGAACAGGAGAGATGGGAAGCACCTGGTTCGAGGTTTTTTTCCTGATTTTGATAGGCTAATTTTTGCGGGTATGCATAATGTTGGTTCTTCTTCTTCTTTGAATACGATTGACTTCCCCCAAACTCCATTGGATTCTCACCATGACTCCTTGAGACCCATTTGTCCTAGGATCAAGGGCTAAAATTTGCGTGTTTTTAATGTGGGTTTCTCTCTCTCCAAAGTGTAAATAGATGGAAGGCTCGAACCTCTCCGGCTTTTCCCTTATTGACAATTTTCAACAGGTTTGATGTCATGTTTTGAGCAATTGGACTCTCTCTCTCTCAATTGGACTCCCTCTCTCTCTCTTTCTCTCTCTGTACATTGTAAATGAATGGAGAACCAGTATCTTGTTTCGTTCATATCAATTTTCAAATATTACTAATTGTTGAGTTTTCAAATGAATATTGACGTTCATGGGTTGCAGTTGATATGTTGGATATTTTATTTACCTAATCTCTCTCTCTCCTCTCTCTTCCTTCAACATCCTACCCAAACCCAAGTTTTTACTCAGTCTTCCCCCTCCCTCTCTCTACAGTTGTGATTGATTGTCATAGTTATGTGCGGCTTCTCTTAATTAGGAAGAGGCATGGGCCTGTGCTCTCAATCCTTCAACATTTAATCCACTTGAGAGAGAGAGAGAACTTCATCAGGGAAGAGTCTAATGGTGAGTGTGAGATCGCATGGACTTGTGCCCTTTTTCCTTCTTTTTTTTTTGACTTTAACAATTTCACCTTATTCTTTTTTACTGCCTTTCCCGGTGAGCTAGCAACCCCATCTCTCCTCGAAATCTGGTGTCAGATCTGACGGCACAAGAGCAAGGTCTTATGCAGCCCATTTGTGCGAGGGTCTCATGGGATCATTACTCTTATATTAGATCTATTTCTCATAAATGAAGTTCTGAATCATACAGAAAAGGTACCTTAGAGTAGCCAAAATCACAAATTTTAAGGCGGGGAGCTGGGCTTCCATCAAGGAGTACATTTTCCAGCTTCAGGTCCCTGTGGCATATTTGCTGCATAAGAAAGTAAGAAGCTCTTATCCAATGGCTTCAAAGGAGTCCAATGGTGTGGCGACTGGTTCCGATGAGGGAGGTCAAGATATTAACCTTTGTCCCTCATAAAAATTAGATACCTCACCCCAAATGGAAGGAAATAATAATCTAAAAAATACATCCCATTTAATTTTGGTTGTGAAGACATCAGTGGTTTAGTTAAAAGTAGGTAGCAAGTATTCAAATTAAATGAGGTCCAGTGAATACCATGGAATGACAATAGCTGACTCCTGATATTAGTTGTTGAAAGAAAAACCGTGCCTGAGCGGAATAGAGTCATTAGCAAATATGACTTCCAATGCTACAGTTAATTAAGCCTTCAAAGAACATTAGGAGAGCAGTATGTAAATTTAAAAAAGAACCTCGTCCTCGCTAAATCGGCCAGCATTGCATATCCTCGCGAACAGCTCACCTCCAGCAGCATATTCCATTACTATGGCCAGATGAGTAGGTGTCAAAAGGACCTTGCAACACCAGGAAATCAATACCAACTTCATTGCTTTGCAAGGACAGAAAAGAAATGCAAGGAAATATCTAAAGCACATTTCTATCAACTTTTATAAGGAAGCCGATTCACGAGGATAGGCATAGAATGACATTTTTATTTTTCTTACCAGACACAGCACTTAAGAGAAACAATATTACAATTAGAATATTTACTCACAACAAAACAGCCATGTACGCAGCAAGCGAAGAAATAGAAGCACCAGAATATCTCAAAGGAAAAAATTTTCAAATAACCAAGATCAGTACATTGTGAAATCTCGCCTGGGCATCCGCTATGGACCAAATGCTCTTTTCTTTTCTAAAACCCTTAAGAAGAAACAGGGGAAACTGTTCCTTAAAGGAAACAGGAATTAAGACTACTTGTAAGATATATTTTCTTCACAAGTGCCACGATCCTTTCTTGATAGGTGAGCTTACAGGGTTACAATGTAGTCCTGTTCATCTCAATGATTACAGTGATCGAGCATCCCCTTTTGCAGATAACTTACCCACTGAAACCAAAACAATACTGATATAAAACATAAAAGGGAACTACAAAGCACTGGTTTAATTTCATAAACTTGAGAATTCGCTGTTGGCAGGCAATAATTCGAATGAAGTTCATTCACATATTATTGCATATTTTGCAAAGAATGGATCTCGAAACTCTCATATTAGGATTATGAAGGGCCTCCTTGGGAAAGATTATTTCTTGAAACTCTCATATTAGAAACTCTCACATATGGGGCATAATTATTTTATTTAGCATTTATCAGTCTCCATATAGAGATTAATTCTTGAAGTACTGAGTACTAAGCTCTTATTTCAGATGCCCAAGCTGTCAACCATGAGAAAATTACCAGTTCCTGTTAGAGAAATCCCGTAATTACATAATTTGATGTCTATAATCTCCTCTCCACAATCCGCTTTGAGGAACAAACATCAGATGCCCCTTCGGAGCTCCATTAGATTTACATAATCATATGCTACAGCTCTTGCACCCAATTTTCGTATTGCAAGGAAATAAATAGGAATGGAAAATAAAAGCTCATGAAAGTTAGAAAAGGAGGAGTAGTACCTCTTTGAATCGAACTATATTGGGGTGCCTTAATGATCGGTGGTTCATGATTTCCCTTCGTACATTTTCATCAATCTAAAAACCAGTAAAAACCCATTCATCAGTAGCTGAAGAAACAGAGAGAGAGAGAGAGAGAGAGAGAGAGGAGGAGAGAGACTACTAGTCGTCTCGTCGTCTAGTGTTACGTCGGACGGACGAACGACGTCGTCGGTCGGTTCTTTCTTACTCTCGTACGAACTAACGTCGTCGGTAC